AACAAACTGACACAATACAATTGATGTCTGATGTCAATCAAACTGAGATGTTGGATTATCTTATCCAAGATTTAAAACTTTAAATTTTCCACTTTTCTTGATTTTCTATTTTTTTTTAGAACCATTCTTTCATTGTCCATAATTAATGTACTTTTTTCTGATGTGCTTCTTGAATTGTATGGTGGGCGAACTGACCGAACCATTAAAGTTAATGCATATCTACCATATTTACTGTCTGCATTAATTTTGTTTTTTAACTTAAGTCTATTTTTACACCCTTCTAACATGGAGACATTCAGACCTGCTTATTTTTTTCCCTATGTAACATAATAACAATTTGACACAAGGTTATTAACCTTTAGAAAACATGACCTAATCTCTGTGCAGTCTCTCACCTGACCTTTTTTAAATCCAAGAGGGACTTTTAAACACTGACATAAATACAACATAAAAAGTAACAATAATAATGATATAAAAAAATAACCAATGAAAATCCCAATAAAAACACAATATAGCAAACTGTGGACTGAGATAAAACTAAAGTACTGGAAAGATACCAAAACGTGAACATGATTTCTAATTACTTTACTTTTGCTTTCTTCTTTATCATTTCAATGATGGATGGAGCCTTCCGCTTTACACCTTTGAGCAAAACAAAAAAATAAAAACAAAAGAAGAAACAGAATTTAGTTGAAGCATGACTAATATAAAAGGACATAATGCTCCTGTATGTTTCTTGCAGTACCTTTGCTTTTGCTAGGTGACTCTGGGGATCTCTTGGCATAAGCAAGTTTCATCCTCTGAATATTTTTCTTGCTGATCACTTCGTGCTGTACAATGGGATGTGGGTAGTCTTTACCCACAATACATCCTGCTGCCTGCTGGATACTGCGTGGAGCTTTCCAAGGTTCATAGATATATTCTGCTGGGAACTTCTTCAGAAGAGGGAGGTACTTCCTGTAAACATAGGAGAAATGCTAAATCATTTGAAACGATACATGTAATGAATGTGAATTGTTTATGTAATACGTTTGGCTGATAGATCTTACCTGATGTAGTCTCCATTTTTGTCTGTCTTCTTCCCGAAGGCCACTGGAGAGTAAACCCTAAAATACTGGTGGAAGAAGGTGCTCGCTGATAGCCACTGCCAATTTCCAGCATTCAAAGCCCAGTCGCCATCTAATAAAAGCTGCTCAAACACCTTCATGAGCAGTGAGAAAATGTTACAGGTACCATACTGATTTAGCATATGTACTGCTGGACTCATGATAGAAAAAAAAAACACAAGTGTTGTGTATAGCTAATAATAATTACTATTAGTAGCAGTAGTATTGTAATATTTGTGATATTAGCAGCTGCAGCCTTTGCGAGCTGACCTTCTGCCCTTCTTCCCAGCTGATCCAGAGGTCTCCCCTAGTAAGGAAACAAGCAACAGCATGTCTGGCCAGGTGGTGGATCCAGCCCTCTTGCCTGAGCTGAGTCATGATAGCATCAATGAAGGGGTAACCAGTCCGAGCCTTTAAGGAGAGTGCGAAATAACAATGAATCATCTATGACACAGAAAATTAGATTACTCCACATTTAACAGCAATTGCATAAGTACATCAACATGAAAACTCCTCTTCTCGCACCATCAATTTTCTCTAGAGACACTTCATTCAAGGACTCAATCTCAATACCTCTCTCCAAGCAGCTAGATAATCAGGGTTTGTGTCCCAGTCCACCTGAGTACACACGCTGTTACCCTCCATCTTGTTAAAGCTAGGAATGCCCAAACTGGCTGTGTAGAAGAACTCTCTCCAGAGTAACTGGCCATGCAGAGAAACTGGAGGATCTGAGTGTTTATTCTGCAAAAATCACACAAGTCAAAGACAAAGATTACTGCAAATACAAGCACATTGCACGTACAGTGTCTCACCACAGGAATCACACAAGGAAAGTATTTGAAGTGGCAATGATTAATTCAGTTTCGTTCCTGTTGAAATGTATTAAACAATACTACAGCATAATTTTCCTTACCATTATTAACTACAATATCTATATGTAAAGTGCATCACTCACCCCTCTATACACCTCTGTGAGTCTCCACCAGAAGGTTCTGACTGATAAGCATCCAAAGGTGACATAGGGACTGAGAACAGTTGTACTGGGGCTCAAAGAGTTTGGAGAAGTCTGTGGCTTCTCAAAGCTGCAGACCCATTTCTGAAAGGCATACACAGAAATGTTTCAGAGAATGTAGGGATGTCTGTTGTTACAATCCTGCAAATAACAGGATGTAGATGTGAATCTAATTTACCGTTCTTTTCATATGTTCATCTAGTCTCCTGAGAGCCTCCTGTTCTCCTCCTGGAAACAGATCCTCTCCAAGAGGAGCAGTGTCCAGGCCGAGCTCCTCCAGTGTAGGAATCCCATATTCCTTCTCGTGGTTTTCTGAGGATGGTGTCTTTACATCTTTGACAGTGGGGATAGATTTAATCTAATCACTTCTAAATGTTGACATTTGCTTTTTAGATAAATGTCCATACATCATTGCAAATAACTTTGTCTGACAATTCAGTAACACTAGTCTGTTTTTCTGGTATTGTGATACCTTTCATATCGTCCATGGTTGGAGCAGGGATTGGTCTCTTAGGGGGACCAATCGTCTTCGCTATTGCTTGCAACTTGGTATAGGTAAGTGGGGGTTTTCCATTATTTTCCTCAATTATTCTATTAAGACAAAAAAACAAACAAACACACAGTCAAGAAATGACAACACAAGTAGCACAGAAAAAAAATCCCCTGTCTGAAAATGCTCAGCAAGATTTTTACCTTTCAATATTATAAAGAGTGTGTGAGACTTTGTAGATGACTTCAACTCCACGTTCTTTGGCCAGTGACGTCACTTTGCTGTCGCGCTGCAGGCTGTAGGGCTCTGTGTCATACTCATAGGTCAGCCTGGTTACTTTCCACTTGGTGAATAACTTGGGGAGCACATCTTCTGGCTTCCCTCTCACAACAAACAGCCTAAGTAGATTAAACATACCATAACATGACAATATAGGTTGATGGCAGCTGTCTGACTTTTTAAAAAGTGTTTAATGTTGCTGAGTGTCGACTGTGTCTCTACCTAGAGTTGAGCTTCCTGAGGCTTCCGTCAAGGTCCTTCAGCGCTCCAATGAGGAACCTCCAGCGGTTGATACCCACACACGCGTTGTTGTGGAGGTAAGGGTCCAGTATGAACACAGGGTACAGCTGCTTACAGTCCTTGAGAGCAGCCATCAAAGCTGGGTTGTCATGCAACCTGAGTCCCTTGCGGAACCAGTGAATACACGTGTGAGCCATACCTGCGGACACGTGAATCACAAACATAAGGCACCAAAACATCAAGTTAATGATCTTCAGTGAGCTTGTGTCAACGCGTCACATAAACTAACATTTTAAAAGAACTGATGCTGTAGGTTAACATCCATTCCTCCTCTCCACCTCATAAATTTCAGTTAATGGAGAGCACATCCTTACACAGACACGAAACCTCAGAAATGTAAACGACTAAGAGTTAAGATCTTTAAAACTACGGTAAATACAGCACAAATCTTAAACCAAACAAAACAACATTACGTTTCACAAAACAACATGATGATTCCTTGGAAGTTCTGAGCATCCGCTTAAATTTACACTTCAGCGGTAGAACCTACAGAAACCTCTAAACTGCAACTAACATGCAATGCAATAAATCAACGGTATGATAACTACAGGATATAATAACATTCAAACATTTCAAGCCAAAAAAAGAAAAACTTTACCTTCTTGGGGCTTTTCAACTTTCAACTGCTGTAGAAAAATTCAGTGTTTGGTAACAATCACATTCAGAGTGTTACAAAACAGGAAGACGTGTTACGTCTGCAGCAAGGGCAGCCAACCAGAGCGAGGAGGCTTAGCAAAACCACACGTGGTGCGGCTGTAGCAGTTTGTCGGTTTATCCACCAGGTGGTAATGTCGGGCAGACAATAACCGAAGTTATGCTCTTATAATGTCACACTAACTCCATTTGCTTCCGATAATTATTAAAAGTTGTGCAATGTATGTGTGTATATTGCTTATTTAAATCATATATCTGAAGCTTACCTCAATCACTAACAATAGCACCACTTTGACAAAGTTCCGGGGAGGGTTTACTAAAGACACCTCGTTTTTGCCTCTCTAAACCCGTCAGCTCATCGTAGCTCGCCGTGATCGTATAGTGGTTAGTACTCTGCGTTGTGGCCGCAGCAACCCCGGTTCGAATCCGGGTCACGGCATTGTGAAACAATGTCACGGCAGATGAGTTTCTTTTCGACTATGTAAGAAAAATATGTGGCTTCTTGATTATTTTTTAAAATTCCGGCCGTAAATGTGTACGACATGAAACAGGTCTAAAATACGTGGTAGTTCACTCGTTTCCTACCACTGGGAGTATTTTGGAAACCGTATCCAGCCACAATACAAAGGACTAGGGCCCTGTTTCCCCCATTGCACCATTGTAATTACCATTAAGCACCCCCAGAGAGAGACGTGGTTGAAGAAATTTGAGTTTTCTGTTTTCTGTTTGGTCCAAACTCATCCAGCCGAGATCTTTCTCTGTACAATAAGCTGATCAGTTGTAGGATAATAAATACCGCCTGTCCTCCGCTGCTCGTGAGCAAGGCATGCCAATCAAAGAATTATGTTGGGTCGCACTCGGGCATAAAAGCAGGGAAATAATAAACAAAAAATAACTTGTCATTTATAAATAGCCTGGCAGAAGCACAGATACATAAATATTCTACTTTCTGATAAACAAAGTGCATTTGAGTTTAACAGCTTCGTCATCTATAAACAATGCGTCTCTCTGACTACATAATTAAAGACTGGAAACCAACCTGTGGAGGTGAAGCGGATTGAATGCTAAAATATGCTGTTGCCTTCATGTTCTGTCGGAAATATCCATTTTAACACACACAATTATAAATTAACTGGAAAATTTGGCACGTGAGGTGTGACGTTGAGCGTAAGTATGTTTCGGGAATGTTCAGCTGACGCATTTCTTCTTTTATTGCGTTAGTTATTCGTTTATCACCTTGAATTAACTGAGCAACTTCTAAAACAGGACAAAGCACCTGCCTGTTGTTTTACTTGTGAAGCTGTGTTATTATTCCATGTGGATTTAGTCACGACTTGCGGCAGCCTATCGGAATTTCGACTTCTGTTTTTAACTCTGCGAAGGCAGCATCAGTTCCCGCTCTGTTGGCTGACAGATTCGCCATTCATCAACCAGCCCGCCCAGCACCATTGAGAGCGGCATGGCAACGGCGGAGACGGGGGGAGAAGGTGTGGTGAGGGGGTGACAGTTTAACCGGACCAGAGAGGAGCAGCAGCAGCAGTTACAGCAGTGTTCTCACTTCTCATTGACTGGAGAAACGCAGCACCCCGCTCAGTCCGCGCTCACACACTAATAAAACGATGCACCACCGCCGCCTGTCTGCACACGCGCTGCCGCTGACCAGGTGTTGGAGCAAAGACCAGGGACGCCGTTAACGCCTCAGAACATAAACTTGTATGTATGTGCTGTGTGCACCTCTCTGTGGTCCCGTTCGCAGACGATCGAGAAGATGCTGAGCCGACTAATGAGCAGCAGCATCAGGAGTCTGGACAGGGAATGCAATTGCACCGTGAGGCTGCTGGACGACTCGGAGTACACCTGCACGATCCAGGTCAGTGGAGACCAACATTTCCTGTTTCTCAAATCACCTTGTTGCGGAGGACGTGCTTTTGACACGTAACAGGGTGGCGATCAGGTAAAGTGACGTTTTCACCGCTCGCCCGTCATATTCAATGTGATGCTTGCAGGAAACATTCAGATTAATAGAGGTGTCATCTACCGCAGGTCCAATCATCTTCGCATTACACCTGATTGTATGTTTTATGGTGCAGCCTGTCATTGTGTAGCTGCGGATGTTAGGCTTTCGTCAGAGAGATACCTGTGTGGACATGCCATGATGAGCGCATGTGGTTCGTGCATTGCGTAGCAAATATCAAGGATGGCCAGATGACTCTATATGCCAACAGAAGGAATACACTAATGGTAAATAAATACAAAATAAAATATCAGCATGAGCTGTTGTTCTTGACAGCTTTTTGCATGCATTGATTAGAATGCATTATAAAAATAATCTGGATAATCTGATCTTGAACGATTTCAGTGGAAGAGACTGTCAGGATTTCTAGATTCTTTAGCTACATCAGCCAGTCTGGTTTTATCATAGAATGACAGAATGTTAGATGTTTATATACTAATTATGTTTATAGTTAGTGTAACCAACTCAGGTGTCATAGTCCCAAAGGTGGTTGACCTTCAGACTGACCTCATGTTTGGCTGGTAAACTGCACTTGTGATGAGAGGGATGTACATACATTTTTGCATTTGTGGTTGTTGTTTTGAGCCATTTAGAAAGTCTTTTATATCTGAGTCAGCTTTAACACAGAAATATTCTTTTCCAAATCTATATCGAGTATCATATTTACATTTTCAAAGAGTTCTGCAGCACAAACCTTAACGATCTAAAAATTGTTTGAGTTTTTAAAAATGTGAACATAAATGACAAATACATGGCTCCAAAAATTATTTCTCAGAAAATCGTATCTTATAGAAAAGGTAAAAAACAGAAGCCAGTTTCTTTCTATTGTGTACTTTTGCGTCATTAACTGACATTGTAAGTAAAATAAAAATCACGTTTTCCTTTAGTCTGAGTTACTTTAAATAAAATAAATTGGCACGAATAAAGGCAAAACATGATTGCAGTCAATAAGTGCACAGTTTGTTTATAATGAGTGAATGCAGGAATAAGAGTAAGTGATTAATGTGCACTACCTCCTCTGTAAATCAAGTGTGTTTGTGTCTTTTGTGTTGCTGCATCATTATAAAGTATGATTTGTGCGTTGTCTAACCTGGTCTTTGATTTGCTGGAGGTGCGTTTGATGCTGGAAGAGATTCCAGCGGTGCTGAATTAGAGATGACAGCAGAGAAAGGCCATCAACACCTGCTCATTTCTACGATCTGACAGCAAAGGCAAAGCAAGGCTTTCAGCATGTAACAACTTAAAGTGGCGGTGCTCAGGGGACAGATAAAATAGGGATTTTGCCAGTGTCAGGTCTTTTCCTATCTGTAAAAAAAATCAGCATTATCAACAAGTTGGGAGAAACATGAATGTTTTTCATTCAAATTATTCAGTTTTTTTAGTGTAGCATGTTGGTGAGTACTCGTTTAGATGACTTTGAGGCTGTCCTCATAGCTCAATACACATTACTGTTGAGAGAAAATGATGTGCTGAATTGACTTTTGACCAGCTTGCCAATTTACCTGAGTGAGTTTTAACATTACTGTTTAACAAGCAAAACACCATGTACCATTTGTTGGGACGACATGGTGTCCTTGTGCTTTCTTTTAGTTTCAGCCTGTACTTTTTCCCCTTTGACTTCTAAGCAGCTCCTTCCCCTGAGTGTGATTCAAAGTGTTTGGCTGTCAAGATATGCTGATCCCATCCTTTAAGCAACTGAAACCACACAGCAGGGACAGAATGCCTAATTTCTAGTGGAGCTTGTATTGAGAAGGATTAGCGCTCTTTTGGCGTATGTCATTATTTCCAGCATGGGAAATAATGACATACGCCATTATTTCACACTATGGGGCCCTTGATGAAGCACAACTGGTCTAAATGGAGACATAAATAGGATCATCGGCTTAATCAATCGTCTATTATTCACAACAACAATGCCATTTATTTGCTGACATCCGAATGGGTGAATGCAGTATTTAGGAAACTCTATTTTATGTCTTACACAAAGCACCTCTAAAGCTAAATAGACACTGGTGTTCACTTCATTTTGCATCGGAGTAAAGGACATTACAGTGTCCTTAGTGCAGGATGACATTATTGTGGGCTCAGGGAAATTGAGAGTGGATGGTAGCTGTCCTTTCCTGGCCCACCTTACAGAGGTGGCCCAGAATAAAGGGTCCTCGTGGGGCCCAGTGGTCACATTCTCCATTTAGCTCAATTAGCCTACACCTTTAACAGCTGCTGTTAGAGTGAAATCACATCTTTTGGGAACAATGGGAGATACAACCTCCATAATTGGGAGAATTTCTCAATGTGAAGACAAGCTAAAGTGGAGTAGGAGAAGGTGAAGGTGTCCTGTTGTTTTAACATGGACTTCTAACTTTGCCTGTCACTTGGCCAGGCCTGCCTACAGTATAATCAGACTGAAGAACGGAGAACCATGTTCACTCATCTGTCCTGTTCTGACAAGACTGTCCTTCACAATATTCACAGACGTCGCACATCCACAGATGTTTAAGCCTCAGCTCATGACTGAGCAGTTTATGCAGGGAAAAATTAGGAAGGTAAATGGTTGCTGTAATAAAAAGGTGGAAGGTGGTGCTGAAAACCCCAAATTTTAAAGAATATCAAGTTCAGTAACCACAGGATCAGGACTGGGACCACCTGTTGCTTATGAACCCCATCAGGAAAACTTTGAGATAGTTTTGAAAAAGCAAAATTTCAGCATTTAAAGGTAGCAATGGCCGTGCAGAAGGAGTAACCTAATGGACATATAGAGCTGTGCAGTTAATTGGATTTTATGTTCAGTTACATTGTGTAATAAATCCAGTGTTCCCCTTTTCATTACAGCTGAGACTTACTTTAAAGGCTAAAAGGTCAAATTCACTTCTCCACAGGCTGCTTAAGATTTACTTTAGATTTAGCCAAGAGCTGTTTAGAAACACTGTGCTCAGAGTGACTATAGCTACACTACCAGTCAAAAGTTTGGGCACACCTCCTTTAATGGTTTTTCTGTTTACCTTGTAGATTCTCACTGAAGGCATCAAAACTATGAATGAACATATAGAATTATGTAAATGGCCTGCATTTGTATAGCGCTTTTCTAGTTCCTAAGGACCCCAAAGCGCTTCACACTACATTTAGTCATTCACCAGCTACATTGTAGCCACAGCTGCCCTGGGGCGCACTGACAGAGGCGAGGCTGCCAGACACTGGCACCACCGGGCCCTCTGGCCACCACCTTGGTTGCCCAAGGATATTTGGCATGCAGGAGGCAGCCTGGGATCGAACCACCGACCTTCTGATTAGTGGCTGACCTGCTCTGCCACCTGAGCTACAGCCACCCCATGTAGTAAAGAAAAAAATGTGAAATAACTCTAAACATGTTTTATATTTTAGATTCTTCAAAATAGCCACCCTTTTCTCTGATTACTGCACAGTCTTGGCATTTTTTCGATGAGCTTCATGAGGTTGTCACCTGAAATGGTTTTCCAACAACCTTGAAGGTGTTCCCAGAGATCCTGAGCACTTGTTGGCCCTTTTGCCTTCGCTCTGCGCTCCATCCCAAACTATCTCCATTGGGTTTAGGCCATGTGACTGCGGAGACCAGGCCATCTGGCACAGCGCTCCATCATGTTCCTTCTTGGTCAAAGAGCCCTTACACAGCCTGGAGGTCAATGTCCTAAAACTAAATGCAAACCCAATGGGATGGCATATCACTGCAGGATGCTGTGATAGCCATGCTGGTTCAGTGTGCCTTCAGTTTTGGAGAAATCCCCAACAATGTCACCAGCAAAGCATCCCCACACCATCACATCATTCCTTGTGTTTCAGGGCTCAACCAAATCTCTTCTGCTTATTGCTTTTCCTTAGTAGTAGTAGTAGGTTTTTTTTAATCAGCTATTTGACCATAAAGGCCTGATTCATGCAGTCTCCTCTGAACAGTTGATCTAGAGACGTGTCTGCTACTGGAACTCTATGTGGCATTTATCTGGGCTCTAATCTCTAACACTTGATGGCTTTGCGACTGCACTTGGGGACACAAGTTTTTGCAAGTTCTTAAAGTAATGATAGACTGTTGTTTCTCTTTACCTAGCTTATTGGTTCTTGCCATAATATGAATTCTAACTAATAGGGCTGTCAGCTGTGTACCAACCTGACTTCTGCACGGCACAACTGGTGGTCTCAAAACTGGAAAGGCACACCTGTGAAGACAAAACCATTTCAGGTGACTACATCATGAAGCTCATTGCGAGATAGCCAAAGGTTTGCAGTGCTGCCAACAAAGCAAAGAGTGGCTACTTTGAAGAGTCTAAAATATAAAACATGTTTTGAGTTATTTCATACTTTGTTTACTACATATTCCACATGAGTTCATCAATAGTTTTGATGCCCTCAGTATGTATTGTCACAACCTGGCTCAAAGGATGTGACAAGGAAAAGGGAGACCACACCACTGGCTGTCACAGTATCTACAATGTAAATAGTCATGAAAATAAAGAAAAACCATTAAATAACAAGGTGTGTCCAAACTTTTGAATGGCAGTATATATGGAGAGGTATAGCTTGTATAACCTGAGAAAGCTTTAGTATTACTGGAACCAGTCCTTTTATTCTTAGTGATCTTTGGCCAAATATAAATCGACTGGATTTATGATTTTATACACTTTACCAAGTTCTATTGCTGTTTCCTTTAGGGGTATCCACAATGAACCATCTGCCTTCATCTCATCCTATCCCTGGCATCCTCCTCTATCTCACCAATCCTCTGGATGTCCTCCGTCATTGCATCCATTAATCTTCTCTGAGGTCTTCCTTTTTTCCTCATGCCTGGAAGCTCCATATTCAACATCCTTTGTCCCCTATCTCTCATCTGCACATGTCCAAACCATCTCAGCCTTGCCTTTCTAATTTTTGCTCCAAACTGCTCAACCTGAATTATCCCACTAACGTTCTCATTT